TGAATTATTTTTATTATATTTACTTTATTCTAATAAAATTATATGAGCAGGATATTGCCTTTATAAAAAAAAAAAAACATCAATAATAAAAAATATAGCAAAAATTATAATAAATGTATAAAATAAATTGAGTAAAATCATCAAAATAAATTTCAGAACTGATTGTTGTTCTGGTGTGACGCTTGTATAAAGTTGATAAGGAGTGCATGGCATCAATAACTCTAAAAAAGGATTAGTATGTTCGACTTTACTATTGTTTATGCTAGATTCTGGCACATTGGCATATTTTACACCTTCAAGTGCTTTTCCTTTATCTAGAGTCTTTAATCTTTCTAGTTCATATTCAAGAGATGAAAGATAACTTTTTCTAGAAACATCTTCTATAATATCAAGGAACATCAGAAAGTTGTTAGTGAACAAACAGAAAAATATTCCAAAATAACCAGTATCTTTTTTTTATCACAAGTCACAATTAAAAAATTCATCCCAGATTCTGTCACACCTTTGTGTATAAAATAAAACACACCAAGTGCCATATCTTGAGCTAGTGATTAGACACCGGAAGAACAATATAGTAGGGAAAAGGAAAAATGCATAAATAATATATTAATCCTCTTCACCTCCTAAAGATCCATATTATTATGATAAGTCTAATTTAACTTGTTTAATAGAAGAATAAAAGACAGGAGACATATCTGTAAAAAAGAATAATGCAATGTATCAAAACACAAGTTAGTCAATGTCACAAACAAGTATACCAAATGTTCCCTTAAATATATCCACAATGATTTTTTTCTCATTGAAAGCATGGATATAACAAAGTTTTTAGTTATCATTCAAAAGACATATGTTGCTAAATGAACATTTTCCTTTCTCAATTTACTTAAATACCCATTGAAGAGACTCACCTTTTTCTATTTCGACCTCTTCATACAAATACTTTTTTCTATCCAAAAAATTTTCATCAAATTCCACATCCTCCAAAACATCATTGACTTGCCAATATATATTTCCATCCTTCCATCTTTTTTCTTGAAACAAAAGACATGGTGTAGGATATTTATATATATAAAAAAAAAAATTTGTCCTCTTTTTTTAATATATAATGGCATCTTTTGTAAAATACTGTAGATCACATGAAAATTGAAATATGGCATATTACAGGATCCAATGGATAAGTCTACTGGCAATAAAACACCTAGAAAAACTGCTGTAATCAAAATTATGCGATAAATAAAGCTTGCATTTGAACGTCATATAAGAGATATTGGTCAAGAGGTTGAATCAGGCAGGTTACAATTCAAATCCGACACAATAAATTGCATCCAAAGGCATATTTTTTTCTTTTCTTTTTTAACAAAAAGGTTGTAAAATATTATTAATAATCACTTTTAAAAAACAGCTGGCAAAGACTCAATTAAGACAAAAAATTTAAAAAAACATTTATAATGTTTTTATTAACCATAGTTTTCTTTTGATCAATTGTTGTTTCAGTAATTTGTGATAAATAGATTTTAATATCAGCAGACCTTGCATTTGCCTAACAGTTCTGCGAGTGAGTCAGAATTGAATTGTGTTGACAAATCATTGAAATCAAAAATTTTTTTAAAGGATGTTTTTTAAATTGTTCACAAAAATGTAGACTATTTGAATGCTCTTTGGGTTTTCATTGTAGCTTTTGTAAAAACTTTTAATAACAATGTATATAAATGCCTTATAAATTACCAACCATTCAATCTTGTCATTTTTAGTATCCTACAAAATAATGATGGTTTTTGTGAGCCAAAAAATGCAGTTAAACGAAAAGTTATAGTATTAGATAAATTTTTTTAAAATGTAGTAAAGTCCATAATCTTATTAATATACAATTTTTTTTTTTTTAAATCAAACGTTTTCTTATTGTGAATTTAAACGCCAATATACTAACACATTTAAAGTTAAAATATGACATTAAAAATACTGAAAAAAAAAAAGAGGAATTGATTTCCAAGTAATACATGCTATATAAAATTGTTGGCGGAAAGCTTGCTTGCTTTGTTCTTCAATTGACATGATTTGTTTAATTTTTTAAATATTTATTGTGTATATAGAATATTTTTTTGTCGATTAAAATTTCCCGTATTTTTGAGCATAGTGGAAATTTGAAATGTAACTTTACAATACACGGCAAACATTCTGGCAATAAAAAGTGAATGATAAATTTGGGTTTGAACTTGATCTCCAATTTAAAGGTAACTGGTGAAGTTTCAGGAGCAATGGATTCTATATAACATTTCGTGTAACAACAAACTTTACTATGCTGTATTTTTATCGACATTTCTCTCATTCCTCTCATTCATAGACGGATCACCAATTAATATTATTAATATTAATATGTAAAAGAAAGATTGCTGTGTTACAGTTCCTTTCTAAATGTCGTAATTTTTGCGTAGATTTTTATATTTTCATTTTGCTTAACTTTAGTAAATTGAATTGTTGGGAAGGATGAGATCAAAATCAAACGGTAATGAGTCGTTTTCTTTTTTTTTTTGCAATGTTGACTTGAATTAATTTGTTAAAAATTGAAATTTGAGCAAAAATATTTTCGTTTTTCCAAAAATGATAAATGTTTATGGTTATTTTTACATCACCATATCGTGCAATCTATTTGGTAACCGAAAAACTCATCTATTTTTCTTCAAAACGTCAGGTTCAAGCGGAGCAGTTACTTGACTGAAAGGAAAATGTGCTTCGCTTTAGATGTTTTTTACGTGGTGTATATCATTGTCTACCATTAGGCTTTCGTCTTTCTCTCCGATATTTTAGACGTTTGAAATTACCTTGGAGCCTTTACCTCAGATCCCAAATCGTCAAAGACTTATCACACAACGTGTTAGTGTTATTATATTTTCGGGTCACGAGACCGGGATTCAAAAACACCTCTTTGCATTTTATTTTGTTATTATTATTATCGTCAATTCAATGATCGATAAACAAACAATATGTACAGATTGTTTTTAATTTGACCATTTGAGAGATAGTGGATGATTTTATTTTTAATTTCCTTTCGCAAAAACAAAATCCATTGATATTAATCTTTGCAAAGGATCTTAATCTTTTTTTTTTAACAACCGAAATTTGTAAATGATTTTTGATGTTCGCATGAATCTTATTCTTCTATAGCGTTAGACTTGAAAAAAAAACTAATCGATCTCATTGACCTTTAATCTGGGATAAATAAATAAACATGACTTAGCTATTTAATTATTTCCTTGTGTGTGAATGCCTCCATCCCATCAAATATTCATGATGATCATGATTATTATGCAATACATTTGATGCTATAATTGGCATAACAAACAATTGCATCGCCCAGGTAGTAATGATACCAAGACCATACAGAAATGAAACTTTTAACAATGTGTGTCTACCCAGATCTCTGGGGTTCACAAGAATAAATGAATAGGAAGGATCTAAAAAAATTATTTTTCCTGATTATAAATCTGATATTGATCACAGGCGTCAGATTTAATTAAATTTTCCTGTCACCAACATTGAATTATCACGCTTCAGTAACTGTGGAATTTTTTTTTCCACAGACTATAAACTCCATCACTATGTGGGAAGGGGCTCCATGTTGGGAAGGCTTTAGACAAAACTTTCCCTCATCTTCCTCTCAGACCAGGCTTGCTGTTGCCATATGGGTGTTGAGGATCAGTATTTGTGTGTTGTACCTCTCTATAATAAAGTTGGTATCTACAACTGTTCAAAATTCTGCAACTTGGGAGATTGCAACCTGGTTTATTGTTTTGGATTATCCCTGAATTCTGAGTTTTGAGTCCTGAGTTGTTGTCTTGTTGGTGGCACGCCAACTTTTCAGCTAGTGTGCCAGCAGCCTTCTCTGGTCTGGTGCTGTGAGGGAAGATTAGTGAAAGTGTCTTTGACAATTGATGCATTCTTAGGTGAATTCTGGGCAGGTCACCCCCCTGGTCTATGATAGATATACTATGACTGGAGTGTCACCTCCTGGAGCCAACCAACGTACATCGCGCAAAGTAATCCACTACATCATCATATCATTGGTCAAATCAAGTCCGATTAGCCTTTTGTACCACGAGGAAGACATCAGAATGACTGTAATGTAGCGTGGGTGCTTCAACGCCTGCCAATTTCCGATAATCAAACATCGTATACATGAACCGTTTCTTCGGTGACAGTCATGCTGCCTCGACATCTTCTTGTATATAATTATATATTTATATTATTATTAATATTACTGATTACACAAGCAAGAATATCAATCATTTATTTGTTTTCATCTTGATAAGGATCTTATAATTACCCAGCAAGTTCTGCTCCACATTTCGATTCCAACTTAAATATTTATAAACTAAAAAAGACATTATATTAATACAAATAAAAAATAGTACCTCCGTTATTAACACTTCTTTAGGAGACTCATTTTGTCAACTTTGAAAACGAGATTGTTTTTCCGAAAAAAAAATAATGTCTGAAAAACAAATCTTTGTACAACACCAAGTGCCAATAATAATACACAGTAAATCTCGATTTAGCGGATACTAATACTAATACTAATTAAAAATCTCGGTTTTACGGATAAAGTTCAAAGAACGGTTCCATAATAAAAACCTTCTCGATATAGCGGATATTTCGGTTTAACGGATTTTTCCCTAATTGCACAAACTATCTGCTAAATCGAGATTCACTGTGTAGTTTAGTTGTTAATCGCGTTTGTTGATTAAATAACTCTTTTACAAAAAATGTCAGAATCAAATCAAAAAAGAAAACAAAAATCAAGAGTAAGAAGTTATTTCAGAGTAAGTGTTTATCATAAGAATGGTGGTGGTAGTGGTTATCTATCACTACTCGTCGTCACTCTAGTTGTATTATTAAGAAATGCCACAATTTTTATTTTCATGTGATCTACAGGATTTTACTTTCAAAAGATGTCATTCTATATTAAAAAAGTGGACAAATTTTATATATATATATATATATATATATATATTCTACACCACGTCTTTTGTTTCAAGAAAAAAGATGTAATGATGGAAATATATATCGGCAAGTCAATGACGTTTTGGAGGAGTCATCATTCACATACAGATTGTTATTAAATTTTTAAATCAATAAAAATAAACATATACTAAATGACTATTATCCTGGCAATTTAACCAATGAATGTGCAGAATAACATATTAAATAACATGTTCACCTAACATTAAAAAAGTTCTTCAGTTAATTGGATTTTTTTTAAAAAAAAAAATCATCAACAAGTAAAAATAAATATATGCTAAACGACCATTATTCTGGAAAAATTAACCAATGAATGTGTGAAATAACGTTCGCCTAACATTAAAAAAGCTCTTCAATTAATTGAATTCTTTTTTTTTTTTTTTTTTTGAAAATTCTCCAAAAAATCAATAAGTAAAAATAAGTATACTAAATAACCATTATCCTGGCAAAATAATCAATGGATGTGTGAAATAACATACCAAATAACATATTCATCTAATTTTAAAAAAGGTGTTTCAATTAATTGAACTCTTTTTTTTCTTTTTGAAAAGAAATCTTTAAAAAATCAATAAGTAAATAAATAAAAATAAACATGCTAAATGACCATTACCCTGGAAAACTTAACCAATGGTTGTGTGAAATAACATACCAAATAACATGTTCACCTAATGTTAAAAAGGTTCTTCAATTAATTGAATTCTTTTTTTTTTTAATTTTTTTGGAAATTCGAAAAAAAATCTTTAAAAAAAAATCAATAAATAAACATATGTCAAACAATTTAAAAGAAATATATTTCAGTATTATATGTTTAATAATAAAAAATATTTCCGATAAAAAATCTTCTTTTCTATTCTTGCTATAATTTTACTAATAATATTTATACAATAATTTCCTGGAAATATAAGCTTTTCTATTAATAAAATTAATTTCAAAATAAATTTTTTATAATTCACGAAATTAAGACTATATGCATCAAAGCAAATCGACTTACTTCAAATCTATGGCAAAATAAATTGCTTAGGCAATTGGTTATGATGAAGTATTATTATTATGCCTATTCAATACGAATGTTGTTACACGATAATTTATATATCAAGTAGGACCAAAAAATTCTACATTCCTTTAAATACAATGAAAAAAAAATTATATATCAATAATATTTGAGATTTTTTACATATATACAAATTTTCGCGCAAAGTTATCGGGATTGGTCATTTTTGTGTCAAATTTTCCCCCGCCGATCACTATGTACAACTCGCTCATTCATAAACGGATCGTCAATTAATATTAATATGTATATATTAGGAAAAAACTAGTCT